AATTGGGCCGGCAGAGGAGCAGTTAGGTGTTGGTCAGGCTGGCAGGCAGAAGCGGTTAGGGGCAATCAGGCAAGCAGGCAGGCAAGCAGTTGGGAGCTAACAGTCCCGGATTGTGAGAGGGATGTTCGACTGCCCTGTGGGATTGGGCCTAAACCGGCAGTTGGACATCTCCCAAGGGGGCCCAGATTGGAGAGGGTGCAGGCTGGGCTGAGGGACACCCACCCCCCAGTGCACAAATTTCATGCACCAGGCCTCTAGTCTATCTATATAATAAAGAGTTAATATGCTAATTAGACCAAACAGTAGAACGACCGTCTGGACAATCTTCCGATGACCATCTGAATGACGTTCCAGACGAAGCCAGGGCTGCGAGAGCCGGCCAAGGTTGCGAGGGGTTGCGAGGGCTGGCAGAGGCTATGAGGGGCTGGGAGGGCTGGCCGGGGCAGCCTGGGCTGCAAGGGCCGAGCCCCTTGCACAAGTTTCATGCATTGGGCTTCTAGTTTTTTAATAATCAGGTTCAGAGGCAGACCAAAGAAATAGCTGCCCTTTTATTATATGGGCCAGTAATAATGGACAATGCTAAAATCAATGAGGATTTCCATATCACTTTTCACCTCACCTCTCCATGGGAGGTCAATCCTGGCTGAGGACCAGTGCATGAACCATCCCAGATGAAGCAGAAAGGTGGATCCAGAGCTTCTGCAATTTAAAATGCTTGCAAGTCAATAGCCAAGCTTTAGAAAAATAGCTTGAGGTTTCTACGGCTCTGTCAGTTAGCATTTTAGAAAACCCAGAGAGACAATCTTAGACACAGCCAAGGCATAAGACAATTGCAGGCTTCTTTAAAAAAAAAAAAAAAAAAAAAAAATCACTGAAGGATCCATTTGTAAAACATAAAGAGGTTAAAAGGAGCAAAATAATGACCAAGAGTGTGGTCTTGCATGCCATTTTGTCTAGCCTCTAGGAAGTGGAAAATTAAATATTTTGGTCCCAGAAAGTCCCTAACCTAAACTTTGCAAATGCACCAGAGAACTGCCGGAAGTGAGTTGAAAGTACCCTGAATCCCATGATGGGTACAAAAAATGGCCTTGAGGGTAGACGGAGAAGACTCTGTTTACCCTGCAGAACATGCACTCGTTTGTCCCTACCTTCCCTTTATTCCAAGGTCAAATGTGAGAGACACTATGTGGCAGGTTCATCCATAAGCTCCCAAATACCATACCCCGGTGCTTTTAACTACCTCCGCAGGAACTGACTCATGTCCCATCACCCCCAACCCCAGCCATTCGTGGCCATCAGCCTGAGTGAGTCGGCTACCCCCAACGTCTGAGAGCCAAGTGCCTAAAGTGTGACGTCTTTGCAGACTCTGCACACTGCTGACCCATTGAGGACAAAGTGAGGAGTGGACGGAGAAGCATTTCTCTCTTGGATCAGAGGAGCTGCTAGGCCCTAGGGACTAGATCAGTGGTCGGCAAACTGCGGCTCGTGAGCCACATGTGGCTCTTTGGCCCTTTGAGTGTGGCTCTTCCTAAGCCTCAGGAGTACCCTAATTAAGTTAATAACAATGTACCTACCTATATAGTTTAAGTTTAAAAATTTTGGCTCTCAAAAGAAATTTCAATCGTCGTACTGTTGATAGCTGGCTCTGTTGACTAATGAGTTTGCCGACCACTGGACTAGATGATGGGAGTAAAGAGGATGCTTGCGATTACTTATGCCAAGATCAGCAGAACTGCTAGTGAGATCTGGTAGTCAAGAGCACGGACTCGCGACAGACCCTTCTGGGTGTGAATCTCTGCTATGCAGTCCATAAGGTGTGACCCTAGCCCCCGTTTCCAGCTTCTCTGTACCACACTCCCTCACTAACAGACCCTACCTCACAAAGTCTTGAAGATTAAATGAGATATTGAGGAGCACGGCACAGGACAGAGCCTGAGTAGATGCTCAATAACTGTTATTATAACAATCCCATTACATGGGAGACATTATTAAAAACCAATTCTCCAAAACCTTCCTGCTCTAAATCCTTCCTCCTGGAATACTTTCCCGTTTTGACAAGTTTTAATTTAATATGCAAGACATAGCCCCTGCTCCAGGAGGCAGAGCAGAGGCCTTCCTGACCTGGCCGAGGTCCCCTATTGGGGCCCTCTGGCTTCAGCCATCACTCAAGGCTTTCAGACTCCCAGTTCAAATTTGAAGAAAAGAGTAAAGGTACTTTTCCCCTCCATTTTAAATTCATGAAGATGAGAAACAAACAAGCAAACAAAACAAACACATTTATAGCAAAATTAAGCATAACCTAATGTTATGTGTAAATTCCTAAGCACTGGTGGTTCAAAATGCTTCATTTCCTGCCCTAGCTGGTTTGGCTCAGTGGATAGAGCATCGGTCTATGAACTGAAAGATCCCAGGTTCCATTCTGGCATATGCCCAGGTTGTGGGCTCAATCCCCAGTTGGGAGACTTGCAGGAGGCAGCCAATCCATGATTCTCTCTCATCATGGATGTTTCTCTCTCTCTTTCCCTCTTCCTTCCTCTCTGAAATCAATAAAAATATATTTTTTAAAAATGCTTCATTTCCTCAAGCCCTGATATACTATCTACCATAGCACAACCACCCCCTTGACCTAAAAAGACTCCTCACAACCATGGTTTATTTCTTTGCCTAAAAAATTGGTAGATACTAAAGATAGCGTGAATGGGTGACAATGTAAGCACCCAAGAAAGTTAAATGAAAAATAATGGTTTATTCACATGAATGATGCTGCTAATCAACACTTAGAAGCAATGTGAAGTTACACTTGACCTAGTAAGGCCTCAATGGAGATCCTAAAATCACTCTGAAAAAAATGTTTAAGAGATGCTGGCATTGGTAAAATCTAAAACACTCTAATTTTTTAAAAAAATCTTTATGGCTTAACTGCCTTATTTTAATATACACAAATATTACTGATTCATTTTAAATCAAAAACTGTAAGTTGACAAACTTGATCTGATTAAGCACAAGTCTGACCACTGACCAGTCCCCTCCCAGTTCTCTAACCCAATTATGGATTAGCCACTGTACGATGTGTTCCCAGTCTTTCCCCGACTATGCAATATGCGTCTGGCCCGCTGCTCACGACATTAAACAAGGTTTGAGGATGGTCATCTAGCAAAACATAATAGGAAGAGGACAGGCCTTGGACTTGTTCCACACCTAGGACTAAATCTTTTACCTGCAGCCAAAATGCCTAATTGAGTGAAAGATGATTATCAACTGTGACATAGCCAGAATAACAGAATAACTGTGAAAGTAATGTAAAGAAGTTCATGATAGATTGCACAAAAAGAATGTATAGTATAAAATTTAATAATATAACTAAAGGTATAGATGCACAAAGCAGAACGTGTAGAATGGTTTAGTAACTCATTTTAACAAATATTCATCAGGCACCTATGCTGTGTCAGACACGTTGTATATGCCCAGGTTTTACCAGTGAACGAAATGAAGTTCTTGTCTTCCTGGAGCTCATATTCTAAGAAGCATCAGGAAAAAAAATTAATATACAATTTAATGTTATATATATATCACAACTGTGAAAAAAAGGAAAAAGGATAAGAAGAATGTTAGCGGTATGCCATTTTAGGCAGGTGGTCAAAAACAACTTCCCTTAAGAAGTACCATTTGAGCATCTGAATGTGAGGGAGGGAACCATGAAGATATCTGGGAATAAGAGTTACAAATGGAGAAATATGAAGTTTGAAGCTGCTGATGCAAAAACATGCTTGGTATGCCCTAGGAAGAGAAAGTCAACATGGCTGGAGAGGAATTAAGAAGGAGGAGGTTGGTACAAGGTTACAAGACAATCGGGAGCAAATTAGGGCTTTTGAGGCCACAGTGAGAATGCTGGATTTTAAGTAGCAATGAGAAGTTAATGAAGAGTGTCAGAAGGGGAAATCAGACTCACATTTATATACTAAAATGTCAACAGCATTTATCCCTGGGTAAAAAAATTTCGGATTTTCCCCCCCACATTTTGCTTTTCTGTATATCTTGAAACAAACCCAAATTTTCTAAGATTCCTTTTCATCATTAACCATTTATTAAATGCACAATCACAGTAAAGAAAAAAACTTATAACACTTTGTAAGTACAAATAATATATTTTATTTCATCCCTGAAAACAACAAAAAAACAAAAATGTCCACATCTAATAAGATAGAACAATTATTCCAAACTTCACTTGGCAATGATATATAATTCATTTCTTCCATACAGTACAGAGAATGTTTGAAAAGCTCCCTTTCATGAAATTTTTTTCATACTTATTTTAATAAAACATTTTAATTATTGCTACTATGTGTGGTAGCATATTGTAATAACGAATAATATAATATCCAAAACTAAATTCAATATAGTGTAAATCTAGAATCTAGCTGCACTTGGCAGTTATTATAGAGAATAAATACTATGAAATATAGGGCACCATATGGGAATTAAATCTGCTACAAGGGACATTTAAATAAAGGTGTCCTTTGCTCTATGCTAGAATTACCCAAGATTAGGATCTTCTGTGCTATATACATTAACTGTTTTCCTGAAAGAAGAGTCAATCTTCATAATTTAAATTATATCTTAAATGTTTTTAATTATTTTAAGTGGTCATTACATAAAATGAACATCTAATGTATCTATTATACAAATCCAAAATTTCTTAAAGCAGGATACTCTTATATAATGTTAACATTTTCCAAGCAATTTAATGTAGCACAAATACCTTTATACATCTATGCATCTGGCTAAAGTCCTTCAGAGCCCCAGTCTCATGAATATCTCTGTCTCCCTTCCCCTGCCAACATAAAGGCAAAATTATCCAAATATGGAAATAATGTGCTTCCCTGACAGCATAGACACTCAACGGGCTAAACTTTTAATACTTATTTTTATCTCATCATAAAAATATCATTTGTTCTTCAGAATACATGTAAGAAAATGTTACATATGAGATTTGAAATTACTATCTTAATGCTCTTTAATTGTCCCAATGTTAAGAATAGGTTACAGACAGTGGCTACTACCCATTTCAAGATTATTCTCATACAAATGTAATTTTTAAAAATATACAATAATCAACCTCCAGTTATTCTGAAGGATAGTGCAAATGAAGACATTCTTTGGGTCATGATTTCAAAACATTCTTTTCAACATTATACTTCCTTGCTCTGCTCATAATCTGAGTAACAAAATATAGTACTAGAAATAAGCACACTTCTTAATGGTTACCAGTCTAAGATTATATATATTGAGAACAAATGACAGAATGATTCAATAACAATATTCTTCACTTGTTTGAAAAACATGTTATATATTTAAATAAATATTTTCTAGAAATGAAGCCATGTCTTTCAGTGTTTCAGCTTGATCTCAAACACAAAAGGTTTACATAAAGATCACCTATCTGCATACCACATCAACCATGTTACTAAATTCCCTTTAAGGATATAGTTCAGCATTGAAGAGACTTGCCTAAAAGCAAACTAATAACTTTTAAAAATTTATATACAGAATAAGAGTTCCATGATTCCAGCATATTCCTTGAAAATGCAGAGTACTTGTGAAGTATTACTCTATCCTAGCCAGCGGTTTAAAAGCTTTTCTGTCCTTGGATCTAACTCATGGGGATGCAGCAGCACAAGGTGATCTTTAACTGCTATCTAATGTTGCCGGATGCATTAATCCTTTTGTTCGTGGTTACTGGCACCAGATTCCCACTAGTACCATTGGTAGTGTTGGTTGCTGAGCCGTTCACAACAATATAGTCAACTTTGTTCTCTAGTTTCACCAACCGCTGTAAAATGTCATCCAAAAGGACAGCAATTGTTCTTTTTAGATCCGCTGGGGGGTTGGGGGGAGTGAGAGAAATCAAAATAAACCATATTAGACATTAATATTTGTGTTTTCATAGTTTGAGGGAAAAAGTGAGCAATTATTAAGTCATCTGAAAGAAAATATACTAGAGAGAAAGCACTCAGATCACAAATAGAAAAGGCCTAATTATTGTAATCAATAGCATCAGAGCTTCTTAAGGGAATTTCAGTGTTATAAATATGGGGGAAACTCTCATTTTTCCAGTGCAATAAAACAGATTTAAAGTCTGGTTAAAAAGTTAATCCAGCCAGTGTGGCTCAATGGTTGAGGGTCAACCTATGAACCAAGAGGTCATAGTTTGATTGCTGGTCAGGGCACATGGCCAGGTTGCAGGCTCAATCCTCAGTAGTGGGCATGCAGGAGGCAGCCAATCAATGTTTCTCTCTTATCATTGATATTTCTATCTCTTCTCCTTCTTCCTTCCTCTCTGAAATCTATAAAAAACATATGTATTTTTAAAACACGCAGTTTATAAAATATCAGGTGTAGAGGGTCTCATTTTTGCTTTTAAAACTGAGTTGTTATACAAAGCTGGGCAGCATAGCATAGACAGTTCTACCTTTGAAAATATCACAGTTATTTTGCTCAAGTAGAATGAATTTTGTTTTCAAGTATTTCTCTGGTTCCATAAGAATTTCTTCTTCATTGTTGGACTAAGCAGAATGTAAAACAATATAACCTGCATCTACATCTGCCACAAGTACACCAATCTCAATTTATGCCAACCCCTTCAACTCTAGTCACCTACATTTGACCCTCATCACTTCATAAAAAACATCGTAAGAAGGAGAAGAAAAAATGGAAAGTGTCCAGGGCATTCCCAGATAAAGATGGTAAACTAAACAAAGGCATTTAACCTCTGATGCCTCTGAATATGCCACCAAAACAATGAAGGTGTTTTTCCTCTTTTTCTTTCTTTTTTATATCCAGGAGGCCAAAGATGACTAGAGGAGACAATAACAACAAAATTCCAGAAGCTGAAAAGCAGATGAGCACTAACTGACTTAGCAGACCTGAAAACGTTGGATCTTAAAAGAGGAAAAATACCAAGAAGCAATTTGATTTTCTCCTCCGAACCCTACCCTAAAAGGCCCAGTACCAATAAAAACAGGGGTAAAGAAGGGATTAAAAACAGGACTAGCCCTAGCCGGTTTAGCTCAGTGTATAGAGCATCGGCCTGTGGACTCAAGGGTCCCAGGTTCGATTCCGGTCAAGGGCACATGCCCAGGTATGGACTGGTCTCCAGCAGGGGGCGTGCTGGAGGCAGCCAATCAATGATTCTCTCTCATCATTGATGCTCCTCTCTCTTCCTCTCCCTTCCTCTCTGAAATCAATAAAAATATATTAAAAACAACAAAAAACAGGACTAGATGAACATTTATAAAGCAATCTGATTCCTATAGTCTTTATACCACTCCAAAACTGGGCAACAGCCCCTCCCCATTGCAGAAAATCTCATGTATTTTCTGAGGCTAGTAAGCAGTTGAGGACCTGGGGACCACACTGAACACTGGGGGCGTAGTGGAAGTTTACATAGTAAGTGCTGAGGTTACCCCTTCTCCCCCAGTCTTTTCCTCTCACTCAGGTCCCAGTACACTTGGGAGACCTATACTCTTCCTTTAGGGAATTTGACTAGGTCAAGAAGAAAAACCTAGATACACTAAGATTCAGGATACCCAAAGAATACAATACATTGTATAATAATTAGCTGGCCTTTATCACGGATTCCTGGGAGGTAGCTCTAAACACTTGGAATTTCCTGAGTGGTAAAGTCTTTTGTTACTCATGGTGGGCCCCTGGGACTACACCTGATGGTTTATATTAATAAGATGTCTCAGGGCCCTCCCTGGTTTGGTTCGGTGGATAGAGCGTCAGCCTGTGGACTGAAGGGTCCCGGGTTCAATTCTGGTCAAGGGCATATACCCAGATTGCAGGCTCACTTCCCAGTTGGGGGCGTGCAGGAGGCAGCCAATCAATGATTCTCTCTCATTGATGTTTCTATCTCTCTCCCTTCTTCTCTGAAATAAATAAAAATATATTTTAAAAAAAGAATTAGACATAATACTACAAAATATTAATAATTATTAAAAAGTAATGGATATATGAATATCATATTATTTCTTTTTCAGTGCAATTGAATTTTTCATAATAAAAAGTGAAGAAGCCAAAACCGGTTTGGCTCAGTGGATAGAGCGTCGGCCTGCGGACTGAAGGGTCCCAGGTTCGATTCCGGTGAAGGGCATGTACCTGGGTTGCGGGCACATCCCCGGTAGGAGATGTGCAGGAGGCAGCTGATCGATGTTTCTCTCTCATCGATGTTTCTAACTCTCTATCTCTCTCCCTTCCTCTCTGTAAAAAATCAATAAAATATATTTAAAAAATAAATAAATAAATAAATAAATAAATAAAAAGTGAAGAGAACATTATTTGTAAAGGCCAATGCACTAAGTAAAGAGTTAGACTTCCATGACCTATCTTTATTTTGTTTCTTTTTCCATGACTATCTTTAAATCGGGATAGGTTTAAGAGGAGAAAACTAGAAATAGTCTACAGTTAACTTACCATATCCTGCCATCGAAGCGCCATTCTCAACATCCATTGTGTTCTTATTTTCCTCTGCTAGAGCTTTAACGTATCTTTTGCTTAAATCTAGTATTTGTTCACGTAACTTGACACTGCTTTGATGTCTTGGTTGTTGAAAAGTATAGTGCAGTAACATCAATCCCCAAATGAATCCAAATACAAGCAAAAGTAAACTCAATTTCTGGGACATATTTTTTCTGGAGATTGCAAAAATCATTTCTCCTGAAGCAAACAGACTCAGCTGAAAAGTGGTAACTAAAGGCAAGCCACCAATCAAGATTTTTGAAGGGGAAAAAAATTTCCTCCTCTTTCTCCTCTGCTAATATGGTATATTCTTCATCTTCAGCAAGATTGCCTCCAACTGTCAATTACCTCTGTAAAACTGAGAAGAAAAAAGGCCATTAGTCATAACCTATATCAGCAACAGAATAAACAATGGCATATTTAAGAAGAGTTTCTATAAATAGTTTTGATTTGGAACTACATCATCTTCTTTGCCAACTTTCTCCACCACTCAGCAAACTTTCAGGTCTTTATCAGTTTCCTTTATATAGCTCTTCAAAAATTTTAAACAGAAATGTCGATTCATTGAAAATATCTTTTTAGACAGCTGATTCTCACAACCAATTGGCCTGGAGGTCAAATACCCCCCAGTGTTACCTACAACAATCAAGGCTTAACTACAACAAGATTGTGCACAAAGACCACAAGGAGGTGCACCAAGAAAGCATAAAAAATGTGGAGACAAAGAAACAGGACACAAATGACAGAAATGGAGGAAAGCAAACTGCTGGATATAGAGTTCAAAACCACACTTTTAAGGTGTTTCAAGAACTGTCTAGAAGCCGCCGATAAATTTAGTAAGGCCCTCGAAAAGACTGATGAGACCGCCAATAAATGTAGTGAGATCCTCAAGAAATCTAGCGAGACCCTCAATGTTGTGATAAAGGACCAACTAGAAATTAAGCATACACTGACTGAAATAAAGAATATTATACAGACTCCCAACAGCAGACCAGACGATCGCAAGAATCAAGTCAAAGATTTGAAATACGAAGAAGCAAAAAACACCCAACCGGAAAAGCAAAATGAAAAAAGAATACGAAGATAGTGTAAGGAGCCTCTGGGACAGCTTCAAGCGTACCAACAATCCGAATTATAGGGGTGCCAGAAGAAGAGAGAGAGCAAGATATTGAAAACCTATTTGAAGAAATAATGACAGAAAGCTTCCCCTACCTGGTGAAAGAAATAGACTTACAGGTCCAGGAAGCGCAGAGAACCCCAAACAAAAGGAATCCAAAGAGGACCACACCAAGACACATCATAATTAAAATGCCAAGAGCAAAAGACAAAGAGAGACTCTTAAAAGCAGAAGGAGAAAAACAGTCAGTTACCTACAAAGGAGTACCCATACGACTATCAGCTGATTTCTCAACAGAAACTATGCAGGCCAGAAGGGAGTGGCAAGAAATATTCAAAGTGATGAATGCCAAGAACCTACAACCAAGATTACTTTACCCAGCAAAACTATCATTCAGAATTGAAGGTCAGATAAAGAGCTTCACAGATAAGGAAAAGCTAAAGGAGTTCATCACCACCAAACCAGTATTATATGAAATGCTGAAAGGTATCCTTTAAGAAGAGGAAGAAGAAGAAAAAGGTAAAGATACAAATTATGAACAACAAATAAACATCTATCAACAAGTGAATCTAAAAATCAAGTGAATAAAAAATCTGATGAACAGAATAAACTGGTGAATATAATAGAATCAGGAGCATAGAAAGGGAGTGGACTGACAATTCTCAGGGGGAAAAGGGTGTGGGGGGTGCGGGAAGAGACTGGATAAAAATCGTACACCTATGGATGAGGACGGGGGGTGGGGGGGTAAGGGCAGAAGGTGGGGTGGGAATTGGGTGGAGGGGAGCTATGGGGGGAAAAAAGAGGAACAACTGTAATAACCTGAACAATAAAGATTTAATTAAAAAAAAACAAAAAACCAAACACAGAAACAAACTAAATTCAGCCTGTAAATTGCTATGGAGAAAATAAACAGGACAATGTGAGAATGTCTGGGGAGTCTAAATGAGGTGTAAGGTCAAGGAAGACCGGAGTTCTGATCTGAGAAAAAAGAAGCACAAAGTCTGGTTCCAATTACCTATTAACTAAAACCTTTAGAATTCTTTTCTGACCAGAATCTTGGGAGCAGACAGTAAATTCCTTATTCTTACCCTCCTCAGTACAAACCAATGAGAATGAGAGGGATCCCAATCCCCAGCATGGAATGGCCTGGTTTGCAGAAATCATCCAAAATGAACAGAAGGAAAGCTACAAGCAAGGAAAGCTGTGTCCCCATTTCTTATGAGAATGACAGTTGCTGTTTGGTAATATACAGGAACAATAATGATTTAATTGGTGATCTTTGTACAGAAGAACGTATTCTTATTGGTGTTTTCTAATATGAAAGGGGCAGTGGCAAGATGGGGTGTGGAATAAAGTCTAGGTAGCAATCCACTGTCATGTTAATTTATTGTTATTAAGCATTTTTAATATAATTTTTTCAAACTCTAAAGAACACACACATATCAAAAACAAAGAACATGAAAAAATTGTTTTCCTTATTTTTATATTTATTACTGGACTTAACGTCCCCACTCCAATTTGCAAGACCTTTGGAGATCTGTAAAGCTCCAAAGATCTGGTTTAAGTTTTACTATGTCACTTGCCAAACAGCAAACATCAAACAACTAGATATTTAAGCAAATTGTCAGTGGTTTCTCCCTAGCCAGGACAAATATATTTATCTAACATTATTACTAAGGACAAATAAAGACAGATAACCGGTGAATATTTAAACTAGAACACTCTCATAAACATAATGTGATGCACAAAGAGAAGTGACTACCCAACATCAAACAAAAGGGGAAAATTAGGCATCCAAACTTTCAACCCAGGAATCCAGTGTTTTCCAAATACAAGAAACAAAATTGACTTAATAGTTTGCAACTGGCATTTGTTTAAAAAACAAGATAAAATAGAAACCATAAGAGTAGACTGCGCCCACTACAGATTTCGTTTTGCAAAACTTTTCTTTAAGTTTACATATATATATCTTTTTCATACACAGGTACACACATGCATACACAGAGCTATACATCTATGGAATCTTGATATAGACTCTTATTATGGGCTGCAGTCAAAAAATTTAAAAACACTGCATTTCACGCTACCTGTCCTGAAATACTTCCTTGTATTTTTATGTAAATATTGCAATAGCAACATTAAAAATATTAATGGATGGCTAATCCTACCTTAAAAACCTCTCCTTCAAATCGCATTTCTGCATTTCTTTGGCAATCTGCTTCATGAACCAATATGGCCACAGCTAAATCAACTACCTACAGCAATAATATCAGCAACTAGCAAGCAGAGACCCTCTCACTTAGCCAAAGGTATACTGCAAGAATAGCTACTAGCCTCCTAAGAAATTTACAGCTAGAGAAGCAGATATTTATTACAAAAAGGAGACAGTATGTTCACCAGAGCTCAGAGGTTCAGAGAGTTCTCTCCAAAAAAGGCTCAGAACAAGTTCTCCACAGATTTGATCTTGGAATGTAATTTCAGGGGGAAAGGGCATTTCTAAATGTCTTAAATTACTAAAATACTTTCTCTACATAATATTGCCTAAGGTAAATATGGGGGGTTTGGGGGGGAAGAGAATTTAACACCGGACACATTCACTCCTAATTAGCTGTAAGATTTAAAATGTTAACTGCCTTGAGAAAAGCTACACTAAAATTCCAGCTGAGACACAGAAATATCATATCTAAAGATATTAGATCATTTTTATTTTGTTTTTTGTTAATCCTCACCTGAGGATATTTTCCCACTGATTTTTAGGGGAGGTGGAAGAGAAAGGGAAAAACAGAGAGAAACATCGATGTGAGAGAAACACATTGATTGGTTGTTTCCTGCATGCTCCACAACCAGGGCCCGAGCCAGGGAGCAGACTGCAACCAAGATACACGCCCTTGACCAGAATCGAACCCGGGACCCTTTGGCCCACAGGCCAATCAATGCTCTATCCACTGAGCCAAACCGGCTAGGGCTAAAGATAGATCATTTTTAGATGGCACATTTGGGAGAGGGAAGAGAAGACTATAACACTGAAGAGTGCAAAAGATAGAAAAATCTGGGTAAAGTCAAGTCAGAGTTAAGAATAGAACATCTTAAGGCAAATGGGAAACTACTCAGTCACTATGCCATAGTAAAATTTTAATCTAAAATGTATTATGCAGTACTGGATATTTCAGTCACAGAGTCTGACCTGCCCACAGCCTCAGCCAATCATATTTTTTGCCACATGACCCCACTTCCCCTTCCACAGCTGACTAGACTAGCACTGTGCACCTTTGCCTGAGGCCTTGGACAAAAAGAGGCCCTTAAGAAAACCAGGATGTTGATTTGTGAGCAGGAGCAAAAGGGGAAAGAACTCACAAAAAAGAAACAATGAAGTTAGATTAGGGGATTGACAACCAGAGTTTTATACAAAGAAGCAGGCATAATAGGTAAACTGAGGCTATGAGTAAAAAAAGAAAGAAAGAGGTACAAGCAGTAAGTAAGGAGGAAGAGAGCTAAGCATGCCAACAATGCAGAGGAAGCACATGCAGCTCGTGAAAGAGATTCGGGTTTGTGGCAGCTTTCTAGATCTTTCACGTGACCTGCCTTCCTCAAGGTGGAAATACACCCCTAAGACACAAATAAATGACTAAAAAAGTTTGCAGCTTTTTTTCCCCCCACATTAAAAAGAATGTCTAAAAACCCTTATCATTGAAAGTCTGAGCTAGAAGAGTCCTTGGAATCAGACCAACTCACTAGCTTAGAGAGGAGGAAATCGAGGACCACGGCGGAACCTAAGGTCACACAGGTCGTGACAGAGCCGGACGAGAACCAAGGACTCCTGTTCCTGTAGTCATCACCCTCTCTCCTCCACTATTCTCAATAACACCAACATGGAAACATTTTTTTTTTCAAAACAAGTATTTTTGCCACATGTTTTTAAATGAATCAGCAATCTTTATGTGCATATGCCATCTCCCACAGTTTAAATTTTCCACTTGCCATACTCTCTGGCTCTCTGTTATCTTTATGAAATACAGTCATTCGATTTCTCCGTTTCTACTGAAAAAAAAAATTTTAAATACATCTATCACTAAAGACATTACACAGAATATCCATCAGGCCCCACTATAACTGTACATTCAAATAGAGCATCACTCAGGACATATTTTACCTACTACACAGTAGTGTTCAAACTCAAAATAGTACAAAACAGACATTTTATTTTATTTTTTAATGTATTTTATTGATTTTTTACAGAGAGGAAGGGAGAGGGATAGAGAGTTAGAAACATCGATCAGCTGCCTCCTGCACACCCCCTACTGGGGATGTGCCCACAACCAGGGTACATGCCCTTGACCGGACTCAAACCTGGAACCCTTCAGTCCACAGGCCAACGCTCCATCCACTGAGCCAAACCAGTTAAGGCAAAACAGACATTTTAAATGAAAAAAATTTTTCAACTAAGGACCATAAAGATTTCTTTGAAGAAAAACTCATCACGAATATCAGTAAAATTTAGGAGAAAACAGTGCAAGAACAACCCAAAGGATAGAGGGGCTAATTTGAAATATTCCAAGTCATTTCCTTAAAAAATGTATTACATTGAATCAATTGTCCTGAGAACAAAAACTACAACTTGGAAACACAGATCCATCCCAAAGGGAGGAAATGACTAACTAGTGAGAAAAACAGAAAGAAGTAAAAAGAAGTTTGATACAGGGTTGAAAAGAGGGTAAAGTTGAAAAGATGGTGAAACCCCTCCTCAGGACTGCAGATGCTGACTCTGCCAAAACACTTAAGCTCCTCTAAGGAGTCCTTGTCTGTATTTCCAAAGCTGATCCACAGAAAAGCAGAGTCATCAATTTCCTAAGAACATTCTCAGCCATCTTAAAACAGTGTAAATTAAGACAGCATATTCTTTTAAATTCTTTGCTTAGGTTTAAGGTGCACAAGGCACAAAGTGAAGAACACTAGAGTGATAGTGATTAAGGAAAGAAAAACAAAATTCACCAATCCAGAGGCTACTTCAGTGCAGCTAATAAACGTATCATATTCAAAAGATTTATTTTTTGTTAAATAAAGAATTCGTGGCATTGTAAGTATACTACTTACCCTCACTACTTGAAGGTGTGCAGTTTATTGCCATTTGATCGGTGACAAAACTCTGGCCTCAGGATTGGGACCCAGGCTGTCTGAGCCACACTTTTGAGAGTAGTTTCAGTTCCTCCTGACCAGTCACCCAGGAGTTGAGTTTTGAAGAGGGAGCTAAAAAGGGGCATTTGAGCCCGAGCAGGTTTGGTTCAGCGGATAGAGCCTCAGCCCTCGGACTGAACAGTCCTGGGTTTGATTCTGGTCAAGGGCAAGTACCTTGGTTGCAGGCTGCCCGTCTGGGGTGCGTGCTGGAGGCAACCAATAGGTGTGAAACACACTGATGCTCCTCTCTGTCTCTCCCCTGCCTTCCACTCTCTCTAAAAAAAATCAATGGGGCCCTAACCGGTTTGGCTCAGCAGATAGAGCCCTGCCTGCGGACTCAAGGGTCCCCGGTTCCATTCTGATCAAGGGCATGTACCTTGGTTGTGGGCACATCCCCAGTGGGGGGTGTGCAGGAGGCAGCTGATCGATGTTTCTAACTCTCTATCCCTCTCCCTTCCTCTCTGTAAAAAATCAATAAAATATATTTTAAAAATATATTTTAAAAATCAATGGGAAAATATCCTCGGGTGAGGAGTAACAAAAAAAAATAAATAAAATTATTTGTGACAGTTTAAACAGGGGTTGGGGGGGCACTTGACTTTATCTCTCAAAGTTGTGGAAGCAAAAGGGGCCACACACTAAACCTGAGAAGCCTGCATGGTGAACCTGACAAACTCAGCGACGGTCTGACATGAAAACTTCCCAAATAACAGCAAGGGCAGCCCTGTCCTCGGCGGGTATCTTCCCTGACAAAGGTCAATCTTCCCCTTAACCGAGCCTGTCTACGGTCTTTTTGCATGAACATACCTTTGGAATGTCATGGTGATGTCCTTTTTTCCAGACCCCTCGGGGTACAATCACTGCACCAGAGCACAGAACCCTTCACTGTTCTCGTTATCTGTTCATTGTTTTAACTATCCCATACCACCAGCATAAAAGTAGGTGTTCACCCATTTTACTTTTTTCCCACTCTCAGACCTCACTGCTTTGCTTCCTCCCATCTCCCTCATCTATCAGCAATGGATTTCAGGTAACCCCCTCGGGTTTTACCCTTGGGTTCTGAAATGTGAACTAAGTGGCAAACCTGCCGTTGCCCTGGGCATTTTATCCATCTGTTGGGATGTTGCTCCCCGACAATTAACCTCAGTTTGGCTCAAATAAACTCAAACACTTCTTACAGATGTGAACATTTCTGACCTCGACCGAGTAGAACAGAGCCCTGCTGTCAAAACACAGAAACAGGAGAGAGCGCGGCTGCGGCGCCCGCTCCATCCCTGCAGCTCAGGTCCGCGCACCCCCGCGCCGGCGGCCGCGGGACCCAGCCCGCCACGCTCGGTTCCCCGTGCTGTCAGACCCGGGGGGGGGCGGAGGGACAAAGAGCGGCGCACCCCCCTTCCCCACCCTGACCCCTCGCCGCCGCCGCCGCCGCCGCCGCGGGTCCCCAAGCCAGGTCTCCTCCGACGCCCCGCGGCAGCGGCCCGGGTGCGGCGGGGGGCGGGGCACAACGGAGCAGGGGCGGCCGCCGCCGGAGGGGTGCCGCGAGCGAGCGACGCGGGCCGGGCGGGCTGGGACGCCTCCACCCCGGCTTCCCTCTGCCCCCTCCTCATTACCTTGCCTGTGGGCTACTTGTCACCGACGCCGCCGCCGGCAGGCTCCTGGGCGGCGCGGCGAAAGCCGATTCGAGGGCGTCAGCGGCGTCCCGCGCTAGTGAAGCAGCTTCCAGGTCGGGATGAAGAGAGGAAGCGACTGGGAAGCGGCGGCGAGGTTGGTTTCCAGCTTGTGGAGATTCTACTCTGCTCGTCCCTCGCACTCCGCTTCCGCTCCGCCTCCCGCCGGCCGGGCCCTTCCCCCTCTTCTCAGGCGAGCGGCCCGCGTCGCGCGGCATTATGGGAGTTGTAGTCCCAGAATGCAGAAGAGGCGGCACGTGCCCCGAGCCCGCAGGCACCGACTTCGGGTCAGGACGACGCCGTTGCGTGGCAACCAGAGGGCCGGCCCGCTCCTTCTTCCGGATTGGAAGAATGTTTAGAGAGGCGTACTCTGCCTTTCTCTCTGCAGACGCTGGAAAAGGAGTGTGGGCTTCTTACTCCTGACCCTGCAGCAGGGAACCAACAATTCCAAAGCTGTTGGTTTGAGGCAAAAGGACTTTGTAGTGATTAAAAGTGAGCTACAGCCCGGCGGCGTGGCCCAGTGGTTGAGCATCCACCTAGGAACCTGACCGGGTTGTGGGCTCCATCCCGTGTGGAGTGTGCAGGAGGAAGCCAATCAATGATTCCCTTGCATCATTGATGTTTCTCTCCCTCTCCCTTCCTCTCTGAAATCAAGAAAAATATCTTTTTTTTAAAAAAAGTGAGCTACATATATTGTCCCTGAATGTCCTTAGCCAGTGGAGTAAGGCAAGAAAAGTAAATGGTTTACTAGGAAGAAACAAAACTGTTATTCTTCACAGGTGATAAAATTGTGTGTGGCAAATCCGAAAGAATCTACAGATGAATTGATAAAACTAATAAATTTAACAGGGTTAATAAATCTTTTTATTTATTTATTTATTTTGTTGTTAATCCTCATCCAAAGCTAATTTTTCCATTGCTTTTTAGAGAGAGTGGAAGGGAGGAAGAGAGTCAGAGAGAAAAAGCAATGTGAAGGAAACACATCATTTGGTTGCTGCACGTCTGGAGCCTTCAACAGATCAGTCCTCAGGCTGAGGCTCCAACCACTGAGCCAAACCGACTAGGACTAAATATGATTTTTTAAAAATATGATTTCGCCCAGCCAGCATGGCTCAGTGGTTGAGTATAGACCTAGAATCAGTAGGTCATAATTCAGTTCCCGGTGGGGGCATATGCCTGGGTTGTAGACTAGATCCCCAATATGGCAACTACAGGAGGCAGCCAATCAATGATTTTCTCTCATCGCTGATGTTTCCAGCTCTCTCTCCCTGTCTGAAATCAATAAAAATATAGTTTAAAAAAAATTTCTATATTCTAGGAAAAACAATTTCCATTTTTTAAAGATAGCGCTTATGCCCTAGCCAACTTGGCTCAGTGGGTAGAGTGTAGGCCTGTGAACTCAAGGGTCCCGGGTTTGATTCCAAACAATGGCACATGCTGGGGTTGTAGGCTTGATCCCCAGTAGGGGGTGTGTAGGAGGAAGCCAATCAATGATTCTCTCTCATCATTGATGTTTCTATCTCCCTCTCCCTTCCTGTCTGAAATCAATAAAAAAATAAATAAAAACAAAAAATAAAAAAGATACCACTTACAATAGCTTAAAACAAATATCAAATACCTAGGAATAATGCAAAACCTGTATGAAGAAAACATTTTTTGAAACATTGAAGAACACCTGAACAAATAAGAGATAATAGGTTCACAGATTGAAAACATCAATACTGAAAGATGTCAAGTCTTCCCAAATTTATCTGTAAATCCAGTGCAATTCCAAATAAAATCTCAATCGGTTTGTGTGTGGCAGAAAAATTTAACAAATCAATTTAAAATTTTATGAAAGAGCAAACACCATCATTAATGAGGAAGAATAATGAAAGAAAGAGAAGGAAGATAGATATCAAGCTTTATTATAGAGCCCTAATAATTAAGGCAGTGTGTTAGTGGATCAAAGATAGACAAATATACCAATGGAACTGAATAGAGTCCAGAAGATCTCACTTGGAAATGCGATTTATGTTGCCATGGTGATGATGCAGAGAAATGCCTAAAGAATGGGTTTCAATAATTGGTGCTAAGACAAATAGATTTTCATTTGGAAGAAAAAAATTAAAATGAGTTTTTTAAATTACACACAAAAATCAATTCCAGGTGGATAATACTCATAATTTTTTTTCTTAATCCTCTCCTGAGGATATTTTCCCATTGATTTTTAGAGAGAGTGGAAAGGAGGGGGGGGGAGAGAGGGAGAGAGAGAGAGAGAGAGAGAGAGAGAGAGAGAGAGAGAGAGAGATGTAAGAGAGACACATCAATTGGTTGTCTCCCACACACACACCAACTAAACCTGAGATCAAGCTTGCAATGGAGGTACGTGCCCTTAACCAGAATCGAACCTGGGATCCTTCAGTATACAGGCTGACGCTCTATCCAGTGAGCCAAACCAGCTAGGGAAATATTCATAAATTTGAAAGGCAAAACAATAAAGCTTAGAAGATAAAATTGGAGCACATGTCCATGACCTCAAGAGTAGGGGACAGACTTTTAAACTAATCCAAAAAGCACTATATAGTAGAAGAAATGATAAATATGACTACATTAATATTTAAGAGTTACTTTTTTAATAGATTTTTATTGATTTTTTTTACAGAGAAGAAGGGAGAGGGATAGAAAGTTAGAAACATCAATGAGAGAAAAATATCGATCAGCTGCCTCCTGCACACCCCCCACTGGGGATGTGCCAGCAACCAAGGTACATGCCCTTGACCGGAATCGAACCCAGGACCCTTCAGTCCGCAGGCTGATGCTCTATCCACTGAGCCAAACCGGCCAGAGCAAGAGTTACTTTGATCAAATGACACCATTAAAAGAGTTAAAAAGCAAGTCTCAGAGTTGAATAAAAAATTTACAGCATTATTGCTGTACACCTTACACTTATACAGAGCTCTATGTCAATTATCTCTCAATAAACCTGAAAAAAATGTACAGCATATATAACTAAGAATATATAAAGTACCACAAACATAAGGAAAATATTTAAACAGGCGCATCACTGAGGAAGAAATCCAAATAACCAGTAAACATGAAAAAGTATCAATCTCATATGAAAACAGGTAAATTAAAATGATACTAAGACAATACTATGCAACCAACAGAATGGCTAAAATGAAAAAGACTCACAATTACAAGTGTTGACCCAAGAGTGGAGCAATGGGAATTTTCACTTTACTGTAGGGAGAATATATTAATAGAGCAGTTTGAACATGGTTTGGCCTTATATACTAACTAGAGGCCCAGTGCATGGATTCGTGCACTGGTGGGGTCCCTCAGCCTGGCCTGCACCCTCTCGCAATCTGGGACCCCTCAGGGGATGTCGGACTGCCGGTTTCAACCCGATCCCTGCAATCAGGCCAAAACCAGGAGTCCAACATCCCCCGAGGGATGTAGTAGTGTGTGAAGCAGCAGGCAGCTGCAGAGGAGCCCAAGTCAGGGATGGGCCCCACTCCCACTCATCTCCCACCCCGCTGTGGGAGCACACTGACCACCAGGGGGAAGCTCCTGCATTGAGCATCTGCCTCCTGGTGGTCAGTGTGTGTCACAGCAACCAGTCAACCAGTTGCTTAGGCTTTTATATATATAGAAGTTGGACATAAGCCAAGAGATGCTACAGCATGTGATTTCCAGGTATATGCCCCAAGAAAGCCATGCTCGTATGCACCCAGATGTAGGTGCAAGAATGTGGTTGTAGCTAAAAATTATAAACAACCCAATTTCCTCTATCAGCAACAAAATGGGTAAATTGTGATATAGTTGTATAATGGAATATAACAAAATGAACAAACTACATACAACAATTTAAGATGAGTCAAAAACCTAATGTTCATTCCATTTTAAAATTTTTTTATTGATTGAGAAAGAGAGAAACATTGATGTGTTATTCCACTTATTTATACATTCATTGGTTGTTTCTTGTACATGTTCTGATCAGGGACGCAACCCACAACCTTGGCATATCAGGAACAATGCTCTAACCAACTGAGCTAATCACCCAGGGCTACTCCATTTTTATAAAGTTCAAAAACATGAATAAAGAATGCATGCTTAGGTGCTAAAACTGTAAAAAGCAAGGAAATAGTTACCATAAAAAGGTTAATGGCTACCTCTAAGCAGGAGAGGGGATTGAGACTAGGAAGAAGCAGTGGGTTGGAATTCTACAAATCTCTTATTTCTTGATATGGATAGTGGTCATACTGTTGTGGGCTCTACAATAATTCATTGGACTGTATATTTATTATTTATACACTTTTCCATGCATGTGTTATGTTTCCCAATTTAAAAACAAAAGAGCTTAAGTCTGGAATCAAACTGCATTTTTTTTTCAGTTCTAGGCCCTACAGGGGAAAGTCTGCATGGTAGCAGAGCACAAAGGAAAGGAGACAAAGATCAAGTGCACAAAGCATGAGGAAATCTGGGTGCAGATCACCTGCGATGTCTAATGCAGCAGCACTAGCCACATGTGGCTTTTGAGAACTTGCAGTGTGGCTAGTGTGACTTGAGATGGGCTGTAACTGTAACATACACACCAAGTTTTAAGTTTCCTACAAAAACAAATCTAAAATATTTCTAACATTTTTAGGTAATGATTATATATTAACATTATAATATTTTCATATATTTGTGCTGTGCCAGCACAGCCAAGGGTTCGGTGAGCTTGAGGGGGAGGGCAGTGAAGGAGTAAAGAAAAGACAGACAAAGAGAATATAGCGGGGCTCAGTGGATCTCCTATGCCTGGATGAGGCCACAGAGAAGGATCCAGCCAGCAAGCTGAGGCTTTATTTTATAGTCAGAGAAAAACAAGGTAGTGGTCAACATAGTTACAATGTTCTTGTGAATTTCACTTGTTTTGGCAGCACTTGCTGCACCTCCCACAGCCCATTAGCTACCTAGGAAGGATCTAGGGGGCGGCCATAAGGTCAAGATTAATTATGCTAAGAAGGCTCTGCCCTCTCAGCTGGGACTTGTTTGTGGCTCTGCCACAGGTCATTCTGAGGCGTAACTCTAGAGCCGCTCCCTACATATATTCAGTTAAATGAAATACATTATTTTTTTAAATATATTTTATTGATTTTTTACAGAGGAAGGGAGAGGGATAGAGAGTTAGAAACACTGAT